GAATCTGAAAAGCACAGACCTGGTACTGAGGTGGGAACCCAGTCCGTAGATGCCAGGGAATGTTTAACCATTCCTCCCAGCTCCTTTGCTTCGTGCTCGACATGGAGAGAGAGAGATATGTGAGGCACAGCTTCATCACTCATTTGATACCACAGTAATTGTTCATGAATTAACTCCACCGCCGTTGCCTCCCCAGCCGGGGCCAAATAAATGTTTTGTGTGTGAACTCTCACCCCTTGTGCCCCGCAGAGTACAGTTGCCCCCAACTTTATCAGTTAGTCTCTTCCCATCAAGTTGACTGGTGTTGCAGGTGAACAGAAAAATGGATGTTGCAATTTTTGTGTTCCTATCTGAAATGGCAGTGGTACAGTCAAGGGCAGATGTTGCTCTGTCCCTGAGCTGAGGTAGTTGACAAGAGCTGTGGTAATTGTAGAGTAGGTGGCTCCTGTCTCCACCAAGAAGTTCATTTCTTGTCCTCCCACTCTCGCCGGGAGCATAGGGTCTGCTGTCCCATTCTACCCTGTTGGTTCTCAGGGATGTGTCAGTAAGTACCAGGAGTGGGAAAGTCTTTCCACTGCGGATACTGCCCTTCTGTGTTCAGAGTGGGTATTGCTGCTGGGTTGTGTGGCAGCATACCTAGTTGTCCACTGGCTGGCACTCGTCCTTGTGGTGGAACACGGCAATCTCTGGCCCAATGGCCTGGTCTTTCACAGTTGTAGCAGATGTCAGGAGCAGCTCCTCCATATCCACCTCTTCCCCTTTGTCCCCGCCCCATGCCCCTCTGTCCTCGGCCACCACCAGCACGCCAGCCCCCGTCGCGACCAAAGCCAGCAGACCTGTATTGATTTTGATAAAAAGGAGGAGGAGGGAGAGGGTTTGCAGGATAGAGAAAAGGAGAAGGAGGAGGGGCTACTCCTCCAGGATATTGATTAGTATAGTGTGCCGCAGCAGGAGAAGGCGTCGGCTGTGGAGCCGCTGCACCCATCACATTCTCTGTCCTCTGCTTCTTCTTTGTTGCTTTTTGTCTAGCTTCCTGCAGCTGTAATTTAAGCAATTGATTTTCTAATTCAGTTTTCTCATTCTTTTTTGTTGTTGTTCTTCTCGTATTGTTGGTAGGTGGTGTATTAGATGTCTTTCCCACTTACCGTAGTTGCACCCAGGGAAGTCTGGATTCTGTCTCATCAGTTCTGCCACAGATGTGGACACTCCCTTCAGGACTGCCTCTCTAAATAATTCAGTTAAATTAGAGGGTGTTCCTTTAGGATTTACTGTTGTGTGTCTCATCCACTTTTCCGCTGCCAAGATAAGATAATCTTTGGGGTGGACTTGAGGTTCCCACTCAAACTTGGGGATAGCTGCGGGAGTGGATAATTGGTACTGGTCTCTGATTGCACGTCCTAACTCTGTTATTACTTGATTCAGCGGGACCTCGTTGCCTAGTTTACTGGTGCGTGCTACTGTTTCTAATTCTCTGGCCACCAGGGGCGCCACACACCGTCCCAGGATTGCTCTAAAGTCTCCTAGGGCCAGGGACATTCCACTGGTGAGACCACTTAGTTTGGAAAGCCACAATCTGCCTTCTGCAGAGATGCTTGGGAGTTTGTCAACCAGAGCATCTCTGTCTCCCACTGGGAAGGGCACATATTTCTGGCGAACCCTGGATGATTGTAGTAATGGAAACATGTACTCAGCCTCATCAAGTTTTTTATCTAATCCTCTTGTTGTCATTGTGTGAGTTCTACCAGAGGGAGGGGCTGTTTGTGAGGACTCAACTTCTCGTAAATGGCCTAATGTGGTTCTTATTTTGTCAATTTCGTGATCTATTTCTTCCTCTGTTATCAATCAGAAATTCTGTTCGGGTATAAAATGTCCTCTAGTGGTCATTGATACTCTGACAGGTTGTTTTCTTTGGGTATCCTACAGCTCATGCTCTAATCTCTCCATTCTACGCTCACATTGTTCAATCATTTCTTTGCTGTGAGCCACCATTTTTTCTAAAGTTTCTTTTATATGTTCTTCTATTTTATTCGCCTCTTCATTCTTTCCTGAGCCCATGCTGTAATTTAGGCTGGACTGACTGCCACCCCTTGTTCCTCTTTGTTTATGAGTGGAAGAGGTGCAAAAACCTTTGTTTTGAGCCATGGAAGTACTGAACAGGTCAGGCTTTGGTATTTTCTATAACCAGCGTCCCCTGTGTTAGTTCAGTGGATGGGTACAGCCCCCTAGGGGGTTTTTCCTCCCTGTTAACGAAGGTCTCTTCCTTTGAGGCTGTCTGTTCCGGCCCCAGATATGGGGGCAGAGGCGACTTCACTTGCTGTGTGGCTGCTCTACCCTTCACTTCCGGTGTTGCCTGCTCCAGAGTTTGTTTTAATCCTTTGCCATGACACAATTAATTTTTCACACTTTCTCAACTGTTTCTCCGCTTCTTATTCTTTCTACATATTGTTTGTTACTTCCTGACTCAGCGTTCGCAGTTGTTTTAGTAAAAACTCCTCCTAAAGGTTTGTATGGACTCAGTGGGGCTTCCTGTTATACTACTGCCTGAGTCATCTTCTCTTTTTATTTTTTCTGATTTTTTCTTTGTCAAGTCGTCATGGTCCATCAGGTATGTTACTTGTTTGTCGATCTGAGTTTCAAGAGGGAGTCAGGGTCCCTGAAGCATCAATGTCTGCGTCAAATTCAGAGTTCATTTTGTCATGTTGTCTGTATAACGTTATGTTTTACACTAAATGACTCGTTTTCTCACTCGGCAGTGAGAAAACTTAAGTTCGCTCGGCGGCGAAGCAATTAAACCACCAAAATCACACTGCAAAGAGCTTCTCCTCAAACACACACACACTTTTGCTGTGCAGCTTTCACTCACTTCAGTCATCCGATCTCATTTTGGACAGCTTTCAGTTTGTTTCTCACAAAAAAATGCAGCTTTCTTCAATAATCATCAGAATCTGTCATCACCATTTAATTTTCTCTGACATTTAAAAAAAATACACTTCCATAATCATCGGAAACTGTCATCACCATTTAAATTTCTCTGACAGTTCTCACACATGTGTGGTCAACTCTTGTTCTTATTTGTGGGCAGTCACGTTCCACATGAAAACTCAATCCAACCTGGCTACCATCCCCAGCGTCCGGGAAGAAGTTTGGGGTGCCACTCCCGACTGACAGAAGTCCCCGACTTCTTTGACTCACACAGGGGTCCCAGACCCCAGGCCAGGTCCCTGACCTGCCTCTTTTAATCACAACTTGTATTTTCTAATCCTTACACAAGCTTACAACCGATATATTACTTCAAAAAAACTTTTACACTCAATCTCTACTGACAAAAACATTTTACAACACGATCACTCAGTGCAACGCCACAGAGAGGATAAATATAGTTCCTCTTACCTGTTTGCCTGCCTGTGGAACCGCACTGAACAACCGTGTTGATGTCCAATTCTCCGGTTACCAATCGTCCTTCTCTAGTATCCCGGGTTTTCAGCACCAAAATTGTCGAGGAAAATCAACACAACAACTCAGACTTTTCAGCCTATTCACCTGTTCCTCTCATTGGTTCGGAGATACATGGAGAAAAGGCACAGTAATCAGTCAGAAAGATTAAAGTTAAAAAGTTTTACCAACATTTATTAAAGCTTTCAGCTGAAAGGAGATGCTCTTACCCCAAAGCAACAGAGAAACAACAAAAACCCAAGATGCGTCTGATCGGAGCTCTAGTTCCTTCTGTATTTAAACACCAAAGCTCCACCCAGAAATGTGTCACACATTCTTACAGTTCTTTGTCTAAACTAGTTCAAACTGATGTCTTCATTTCCTGGAAGTCCTTTTATGGAGTTGTTTTGTTATTTTCTTCTGCCATTCCAGTTTACTGGTGATCTTGTCATCAGTTTAAGAAGGGGCAGAAATAATAAGATTTTTTTTCTTCTTCTGCTGCCTTTCATTTTATGTTTTGTATTTTACTCTCTTGTTTTGAAATTGTTATTGTGTTTTTAATTTGAAATGAATAAATAAATTAAAATAAAAAAAATCAGCATGGGGCACACACCAGCCGTTCCCTCGTAGTTTATGTCCCGTACACAATGAATTCAAATACATTCTCTGACTTAGCTCAATCTGTACTTGTTGATACCAAAAGGCAAGCAGATCCAAAAGCCAAGCAGATACAGATAAAGGACAAGATACAGTTGTGATACATCGAGCAATACAGCAAAGCAGATAAGAGCATCTTTACACATCAGGATGCATCAGGATAAAAGAAGATTAGAGTTCATAGAAACTGTGAAACAAGTTCATGGAAAGATTTGTGAGGGTGAAGTTCGGAAAGCCAGTTTGAAGACCAAGAGAAAGGCCAAAGTTATTGCAATTAGAGAGGACATGGAGGTAGTAGAAGTACAGAGGATGGAGAGGTCAGAGTGAGATGAAAGAGGATAATTTGGTGTGGCAACATTTGACAAGGGCAACCTGAATGAAGAAGAAGGATGGAGCTTATGTACAGGTTTTATGGTTTAGTGGAGGTTTTTTAGAACTTTAATTACAGTTTTCATAGGAGCTCAGGAACAGATTTATCATCAACGCGGGTACAATTTCTGCAGTACTCTGGTACTTTGCCCATAGGAGCTCAGGTATATGTTTTGTAAAAGCTCAGAAACAGGTACCACAAGAGCTCAGGTGTTATAGCCATTCTGGTACATCACATAGGAGTGTAGATACAGGCTCTAAAGAAGTTTAGGTACAGGTTAAATAAGAGCTTCACTTCACATTTCAAAGTAGCTTAGAAACAAATTCTGCAGGCCCAAATGTAGGCTCACTTTCTGTAGGAACAAAGGTGCAGGTTTTGTAGGCACTCTGATACTCATCTTCGTAGTAGCTCAGGTATAGGTTTTGTAGAAGCTCAGGTTCACATTCCTGGAAAGCTTCCCATTTAAACTGAAAAACAAATAATTATGTGTCAGAAAACATTCTTCATTTCTGATTAAGATTAACTTATTGTGACCTCCCAGGTGCACGCTGTGACAGATGCAGACCTGGTTACTATGGTGACCTGACATTGCCAGGTGCCCATTGTAAGTTGTGTCCTTGCAACAACAACATCGACCCGGAAGATGACGAAGCCTGCAACAGCTTGACTGGAGAATGTCTGCACTGCCTTTACAACACTATGGGACCACAATGCCACCACTGCAAACCTGGTTACTATGGCAATGCCCTACAACAGGATTGTAAAGGTAACATCAGCAGATATTAAAGTGTCCTGTTGATTTAAAGAATATAATCTGCTGGTGTCACATGATTACTGTTATCTATCTTTGAACCAAACTACAGAAGTCCTCATGGGTTTCACAGAGAATTTTACCCTCACAAAGCCTTTTCTGAAAGTATCTTTCCTCCTTTGGCTGCTTAATACACTGAAGATAAAGAAGAAAAATAGAGATTTAAAATGTATCACAAGAAAGACACTTTATTTAACTGTGCACAGATGAAGAGCATCATTCCTGTTTGATCAGAAAATAATCAGTCCATAAATAACTATTTTCTCTCCTGCATAATCAGAGAACCTCTTATGGTTTCCCTAAAAACAAGGAAACTGGATTTGAGTTTGATTAACACAAATTTTTGTGTGTGTGTGTGTGGGGGGTGTTATTGAGGGGGTGAGGGCCCCTATCTTCCAGGTTGAGGACCAGAGTTTGATATTTATCTTTTAAATGATGATCAGAAGTGTCATGTTTATTTGAGTGTGTATTTATGCTTTGCATTTCCCAGAATGCTCTTGTGATTTGCGGGGAACCAAGCCAACACTGTGTCCTCTGGAAGGTCCTTGCTTCTGCAGTCCAAAAACTGGACAGTGTCCCTGCAGGACGCGGGTGAGGGGAGATCTCTGTGATGAGTGTGAGGACGGATTCTGGAATCTGTACGGAGCTTTGGGATGTCAGCCCTGCAGCTGTGATCCTGTTAACTCCATCTCTAATGTTTGCAATAAGGTAGGACCACTGCCAAACAGCCATGTTAAACTCAGAACCAGCATCACATAAAATATGTTAATTTAAATGGATAGTTTAGTTATTTCTGAAGTAATGTTCTGTCAAATAAATAATAATTATGAGTCATAGACCACTGCGTATGGAATATACTTTGTAGAACACAGGTTTTCATCTAAGCTAAGCTAAATTCAAGTGAGACAAATATATTTTAGGCTAACTCTTCAAAATCAACATACCACTGTAAAAGAATGCCACATTAGCTGACGTTAAACCTACACACTTTTTTGACACATTTTGTTTAGTTTATTCCTGCTGCTGGTGTAGATTCTCAGTCATGAAGGACATGGTAAATCCAAAAAAGATGAAAGCCAAAAACAACTGGACTTCTATTGGGTAGCTCAAGACATTTCACTCTTCATCCAAAGTGATTTCTCAAGTCAAAGACCAGGGAATGTGGGGTTCGAGTTATAAAGCTGAGGTGTTCTTCTTCTATAAGCTAGATTCATATGTCGATTGCCCTCACTCTCCTCACAATAGAGGTTCGTTAGGGTCTTTCTTAGTATGACTCACAGATGACCACTCTGGACACATAAATGAAGGTCTTGATTGGTGTGAAACTGACTGGGTATCAGGCCTAAAGTTTCATTATAGATTTTTGAAAGCTGAAACCTGAGACCTTCTCCTCTGTTTAAAGATGGTTTCTCTCTTTTTACATACATGGCTTGGTTTCCTTCACCCCACTCTCAAACCATCTGTTTCTCAGCCCAAAATGTGAACATTTTGGTCCTCAAAAGGGTGTCCCTTATTTTTGAGGTGCAGGTGAATTGCTGATTCTTGTCCTGAAGAGTTAGCTTTCATGTGTTGCAACATACGCTTGTGAAGAAGCTGTTTGGTTTCTCAAATATAGAGATTTGGACATTCCTCGCTGCACTGATCTGCGTACACCACATCACTCTGTTTGTGTATGGGTGTTTTGGCCTTGGGGTGGCCCAGCCTCTGAGAGTCCTGTTGGGTTTGAAATGTACTGGGATGTCGATGTTCCTGTTCTCTCATCTGTTTAATAATAGCTAATGTTACATGTTCTTACACCTGTATGACATTTTTGAGAAAAAAAAGTTTTGTCTTTTGCTACATTCATCTTTTATCTGGTATTCTGGTACTTTTAGATTTTAGCTAGTATTCTACTTCTTTCCCTGCTCTTTTCCTACTTTTGTCTTTTAGCTAGCCTTCAACTATGTTTTAAGTTTTAGACAGCCTTTTACTATATTTAGCTTTTATTTATCATTTTACATATTTAAACATTTAGCTAGTGTTTTGCTATTTTTAGCTATACTTTGTTTTAACAGACAATTGTCAAACCTAGACTGATGTCACATCTGATGCGAGTACTAACGATTGATAACTATTTGACAAAATATCATTTCTAACATTACCAGGATTTTACTTTAAGATTTATTTATCAATTCAGTGTGAAACAGAAATGCAATTGGTGAAACGTTTAGTTTATTGTTTATTTGTGATATGCATGTCAACACAAGGAGAGTTGCTGCCTCTCAGCGAGCAGGTCCCTGGTTCATGTCCCGGTCCAGAGGCCTTTCTGGGTGGAGTTTGCACATGCTCTCCGTGCATGCGTAGGTTTTCTCCGGGTACTCTGGTTTCCTCCCACAGACCAAAAACATGCATGTTAGGCTGATTGGTAACTCTAAATTGTCCCTAGGTTTAAGTGAGAGAGTGAATGGTTGTTTGTCTCGTTTGTCTCTATGTGGTCCTGTGATAGACACAAAAGTACAAAACAAACCACCAAAAGTGAAAAAGAAATGCAACATCTACAAAGTCCAAAAGAAATATAGTAAACAACATGGTAGAATACAACAGAGCAATTGGATGAGTCAGTACAAACAAGTACCTCACAGGCAGTAACACTGCTTAAATGCACATGCTGCATATTGCACATAACATACACCACACAGGTTGTGACAGGTTATTGCACAGGTACTGAGTAACATTGAGATGAATTATGATGGTAAGGTAGTGACATACACAATGCAGCCACGTAGCGCAGCAGCAATAAACATATTAGGTGTCACAGATGTGACTCAGTTCTGTGGAGCCGAGAGACAGAGAAGTCGTCCGGAGCCACACTACAGTCGGGGATGGACGGCTCCAGCCATTCTTCCATAAAGGCAAATACACAACAGCTCCTGCTGTCCCGCTTGCAAAAAAACTGTACGCGCAGGTCGTACAGTCCACTCCTCAGAGGTTGAACACCCGAATGCTGGACCGAGGGGAGAGGGGGTTTGCTGCGTCTTTGGTGGGTCCTACACAAAACACTGGCTCGTTTCCCTCTCTGTGTTTTCCTCTTACTGCAACCAAGTAAACAATGGACTCAGGGGAAATGTCCGCCATAGAGTCAACTACATTTGGCCCAAAGTCCCCACTCACTGACAATCGCAACTCCAAAAGTGCGTCGCGGTCATACCCGTAGTTTGGGAGTGCAGTGCAGGTGCAAAAAGTCAAAACAAAAGCAACAAGGAACAAAAAAACTGTGAATCAAGTTTACTGACTAAAGCTCTGATTGTCGTAATCTGTTTTTCTGGTCTTTTATTTAGTTCCTTGAGTTTATCTTTTACTCTTGCTACTTTTGTGGTGTATTATTTCTGTTCTTTAGGATTTGTGTGTTTTTTCTGATCCCTGTGTTCCCTTTGCCAGTTCCTGCGTTCCCTTTGCCAGTTCTCATTTTCACCCTCAGTCAGCTTCAGTTCTATTTCGTATAGGCTTCGCCCTTTAAGACTGTCGCTAGTGGGTTTTATCCCGTCACGCAAAGCGTAGCACTGAAAACTTTAGTCCACGCCCACCTGTTGTGTGGGCCTCACCCGGTCCATATAAATTATGTTGAGAGCAGGTAACCGGCTCCAATTTTTCTTCAGCTTCACAAGAACGCAATGTCCAGCACCAACACCATCTGCCTGTGCCCGTCCTGCAAGACCGGCTACATGCTGAGCTTCGACCGGCACGGCATCTGTGAAGGATGCCTGGGTCCCCACCATGCCGACCTCGCCTCCTCCTGCTGTCTCTGTGACCTCCTCCTTCCTGAGGAGAGGCAGAGGCGAGCAGCCTTGTTCAAGGCTAATGTCGAGGAGTGCCTCTCCGTGGCGGGAGACTGTTCGCTGGACGACGCCATCGCCTTTTTTGACGCCGAGTCTCGGAGCGAATCGGATGGTTCCTCCAGGACAGGTGACGTCAGCAGCAGCCCCGCTGCTCATTCCCTCCCAGAGAGCGTAGTGTTGGAATGGGGGGGGGAGTGGATGCTCACCCCACCGGGCCTTTCCGCATCAGCGACCACACCGCTCCCAGCCGTCAGTGCCCTCCTCGCAGAACTGCCCGGCATAAGCCAGGAGACGGCTGACATGAAGAGACTTTCCGTCCCTCTCCTCCCCCCGCCCAGATCGGATGATCTAGTGGGAAGGTTTGGCTCCACCCCGGCTCGCCGCCCGGACCCCATCTGGCCTCGTTTCCCAGCAGTGACGTCCTACAGGAACGAGGCTGCGGCCGGACCTGGTAAACCGAGAGCGCCCGTCTCCACCTTCGCTCTCATCCCCAGAGTGGAGGGGTTTACTGAGCGGAATTTTCCCTCGGTACCCCCCCCCCCCCCCCCCCCCCCCCCGAGCCTGGTGGAGGAAGCACTCGGGGCAAAAGTGTCCAGGTTGGACCAGCGTCCTCTCCCTCCAGGGAGACACAACCAGACAGTGACATTTCTCTCCTACCGAGCCCACCAGTGTGCGTTCTAGGCGGCTGCAGCAAACAAAAATGTCGTTCTGCTGGCCTACAGCTTCTCCAAAAGGCTGGAGGACACAGACCTGCCTGGGGAGACGAAGAGCTCGCTCTGCAAAGCATGTGATGTCATCCTCAACCTGTGCGCCTCCTTTGCTGTATGCCTGTTTTGCATCGCCGCCTGGATGACAATGATCCAAAGGTCCACCTGGCTCCGACGCTCCCCCTCCTTGCTGGAGAAACTGCAGAAAGACCTGTGGAGGGCCCCATCATGACGGACGCGCTGTTCGGGGCCAATTTCATGGCCATGCTTGAAAAATCGAAGAAGTCGGAGGAGGAGGTGACGGAGACTGTGCGCCACCTGATGAAGCAGCACTCCTCCTCCCGCCCCCCCCCCCCGCCCGCTGGAGAGATCGTCGTGGCCAGAGGCAGCAGCAGAGACGCTCCACAGCTGCAGCAGCGTCCTCTCGCCCCACTCTGCCGCCAGCCCCTCCCGCCAGAGAACATTCCTTCTCATCGCTGCAACCAGCGGCTCAGTGTTTTCCCAGAGACCGCCAACAGGCACCGCCCTGGAACAACCAGCCGCAGGGCTCACGGGGAAGAAGATATAAGAAATGACTCCTTGCGGAGGATGTGTGTGTGTGTGTGTGTGTGTGTGTGTGTGTAATGATGACATGAGTTTTAAAATAAAACGAAAACATCATTCAGAGAGTAAAGTGTCTTCTGATTCCAGCCTGACTGTCAGATCAAATCTCACAGCAGCTTCTCTTCACACATCCTCCACACAAAACGAGCCGATGACCTCAAAACAAGTTTTTAAACGTCACCGCAGCTCGAGAAACCACACAAAATGCTCGCTTGACACAGCAGCTAAAAAAGATTTTTTTCAGCAGACCGAGCCCAGAAGAAAACCTCACTTTCAGCCCAGGGTGTGTTCTGCCTCTTCTGGCCGCAGCGGGGACAAACGTGTTTCCCCATGACAGCTGCAGCCTCCACCCAAACGGCGTCACATTTCTGAAGGCACGCACGCCTCTCCTCAGTGCACGTTAGTTCACATCAACTCTGCAGTGAGCCCGCAGCCTGAGCGCGGCACAGAGGTGCTCTCAGGGCCTTTTCTGGGGGGGGCCCCATGGGTTGCTCGGAGTACATCTCCGCAGCACATGACGGCGGTGGGGGCCATGACTTGGCTGACGTCCATAAAAGACATGACAACACAAAAACGCGTGCCCAATCCCAGAGCGTTATGCAGAGTGGCAGCGAGTGTGCTCCCTGGACAGATGGATTAACCGTCTTATCAGCAGAGGTTACATGCTGCAGTTCGCAGCTCAACCCCCACCGTTCAGAGGGATTATAGAGACGGTTCTGTCATCTCCAGAACAGATCTTGTCCATCCACGCAGAAGTTCAGGAATTACTGATAAAAAATGTAATTTCCATGGTTCCCAACGGAGAGGTAAACACAGGGTTTTACTCACGTTACTTCCTGGTTCCGAAAAGGACCGAAGGAATGAGATCCAATTTGGATTTATCTGTTTTCAACAAGTCGATCATGGAGAGACAGTTTCATATGCTGACAACCAGACAGCTGTTAGACAGCATTCACCAAAACGACTGGTTTACCTCCATCGATCTCAAAGACGCCTATTTTCACATTCCAATCATTCCAAAACACAGAAAGTTCCTGACCTTCTCTTTCCAAGGAACCCAGTGCCAATACAACAGGCTCCCGTTTGGTTATTCCCTCGCACTACACGTTTTCAAAATGCGTGGAGATGGCTCTGCAGCCACTACACAGAGCAGGGATGAGAATTCTGTTTTACCTGGACGATCTGCTGCTGCTGACCCGATCCAGGCAGGAAGCAGCGGCGCAAACCAAAACGCTGACGTCACACCTGGTAAACCTGGGTTTCACTATAAACTGGGAGAAGAGTTCGGTTCTCCCGGCCCAGTTGATCGTTTATCTGTGAGTGGAGCTAAACTCAGTCACTATGAGGGCCCGTTTATCACAGATGAGAGCCGAAGCTCTAAAAGACCAGCTCCGCCATGTAAAACCCGGCAGAGTAGTGACAGCTGTCTCCATCATGAAACTGTTAGGAACGATGTCGTCAGCTCATGTTGTGGTTCCGTTGGGCTTACTCCACATGAGACACCTTCAGAGATGGTTCACTCGTCTGCGTATAGATCTGGTACAGCAGAAGAGGCGGATGATTTCTGTGCCCCCCTCCATGGGAACCAACCTGAAACACTGGAGAAATCCTCTCACTCTGTCAGAGGGCGTTCCTATCAGCAGACCTACGTCACATGTCTCAGTTTTCACAGATGTGTCCCTGTCAGGCTGGGGAGGAATGTGCCTATCTCAGGAGGTGGGGGCACTGTGGCCACCTCACACATTAGCTCATATAAACGTTTTGGAATGTCTCACGGTTTCGAATGTGATCCAACATTTTGCTCCCTTGCTGCAGAATCAACATGTTCTGATCCACACAGACAACAAGGTGACTGCAGCTTACATAAACCGGCAGGGGGGCATGCGCTCAGCCCAAATGTTACACATTGCGAGGCAGCTGCTGTGTTGGGCACACAAAAATCTGCTGTCCATCAGAGCAGTGTACATCCCCGGCGTCCTGAACAGAGGAGTGGACATGATGTCCAGCGGTGGTCCGTGCAACAGGGACTGGAGCCTCCATCCCGAGCTGATTTCTCGGATTTGGGAGAAATTTGGCTGAGCAGCAGTGGAACTGTTTGCCACACGGGAGAACGCCCAGTGTCAACTATGGTTCTCCCTGAGCCCATGGGACAACCCATTGATAGGAGTGGACGCCGGTGCATTGGCGGCTCTCAGCAGCTGGGGCTAGGTAGTGGGGTGTGTGCGGGCATGCCCTGGTGGCTGCCTGCCGGAGCCTGGGTGCCCTGGCTCTGCCGGGCCTCTGTTCGGGGGTAGTATGACCTCGTGGCTCGGGGCTTGGTGTCCATGGCCGGATCTACTCTGGAGGGGCGGGTTGCCGGCGGGGCCTGTGGACTCGTTACTGCAGCCTCCTGGGGTTTCTGCATTGTGGTGGCTGGGGATCGCCGGGGGCTTCCCTTTGCTTCTCTCTCTGGGGGCTGCGGGTGTCTCTGTTGGGGGACTCCTAGAGTTCCGGGCTTGGGGGCCGCTGTGTGTCTGTGGTTCCGGTCTTCCCTGTGTTACCATCATGTCCTGTGGGGATGGGTCTGTGGGTCCCCGCATCCACTATTGGACATTTTTATGGAGAAACCTTATAGTGACAAGCATGCTCCCACAGGTGTTTAAATTCAAGTGTTTATCAGATACACACTCAGTCGGGTTGTGGTGGCCATCAAATATATCTTGTATTACCATGTACTGCATAAAATACTTTCTAATTATGTTACAAGTATCATTTTATATGTTTGTTGTTGTGGTTTCTCGGTTTTGTCTTGTCCTTTTTTTCTGCAGGTTTAGAGGCAGACTTCAATGATGTTGATTTGTGTTCTCTTTATACCTCTCTCTCTCTCCTCTATTCCTATCTCTTTCTTTACCTTTTAACCCTTCTCTCACTTTTCTGCTTTGTCATCTTTGTTTTTCATCCCCATGTCCATTACATCTGAAACAAGCCCATAACAAATTCTAATAAAATTTAATTTTCATATCAAGTGGAGCATTAAGGCCAGCCATAATGCTCTGCTTGTGAAAGTAAATCTGTTGGGCATCACTTTGACACTCAGACAATAATTCTAAGTGTCAGGACAAGGGATAAAAAATAAAAAGTAGTGGACGCTTTTGCCCACAGCCCGTGGCCCAAAATGCTCCTTTACGCATTTCCTCCAGTCCCTCTAATATCACAGTTTCTGAACCGAGTTCGAGAGGAAGAACTGTCAACCATTCAGGTAGCTCCCGAGCACGTGAGCGCCTCATGGTTCTCAATCCTGCAATGTCTGTTATCGGGTCAACTGTGGAAACTGCTGTGGAGGGAGGATGCTCTCCTCCAGGCAGGAGTAGCGATCAGAAGCCAGCCAGAAATAGGCCAGCACCTTTGGGTCTGGCTGCGGAGCGGATCCGCTTAGAGAAGATGGGCCTCTCCCAGGAAGTGGTTCGCACAATTCAGGACTCACGTGCTGCTTCCACCACAGCGCTGTACACATCAAAGTGGACAGCCTTTCAGTGCTGGTGTACGGAGAAAGGTGTAGAGGCCATCTCATGTCCACTAGGTGGTGTGCTGTCTTTTCTGCAGCAGCTGATGGACAGAAATCTGGCGTTCAGCACAATTAAAACATATGCTGCAGCCATCTCTTCCTGTCACAAAGGCTTCGGTGACAGAAGAGTTTTTAATCGCCCACTGATGAAACGTTTTCTGAAAGGTGTACGGAGGCACAGACCGGTGTCACGCCCACTAGTTCCACAGTGGGAATTAATGATGGTTCTGCAAACCCTGATCAAAGCTCCTTTTGAGCCCTTGGATCAGGTTTCAATTAAATTCCTGTCACTCAAAACAGCCCTGCTGTTGGCTTTGACATCTGCAAAGAGAGTGAGTGATTTATCTGCGCTCTCTGCTGCCCCGTCATGCCTCAGAGTTCAAGCTGATGGCAACTCAGCTGTGCTGAGACCTAACCCAGCTTTTATGCCTAAAAACATCACAAGTTCATTTAAATCGAGAATGATAACGTTAGAGGGGTTTCTCCCTCCCCCTCACAAATCAGAAGAAGAAGCATCTTTTCATCTCCTCTGCCCTGTGCATGCGCTAGCATGTTACATAACACGCACGGCCACACTGCGCCAGACTCAACGTCTGTTTGTACATTATAGAGACGCCTCTGCAGGTCGCCCGTTATCCACCCAGCGTCTGTCACACTGGCTGTGTGAGGCCATTTCTGAAACTTACAGAGCATCAGGTTTAGAGCCTCCTGAAAACCTCAAAGCACATTCGACCAGAGGAATCGCATCTTCGACAGCTTTGCATAATGGTATGACAGTGCAGGATATTTGCATGGCGGCTGCATGGTTGTCGCCTTGCTCATTTATCTGCTTTTATCTGCGTGATGTTTCTGGTTCCATGGCGCATTCTGTCCTTAGCGCCGTAACAGAATAAATCTTAATGTTTTCATGGAATTTCTGTTTAAACTCACATCTGACTGCATGCAATTACAGTGTGAGGTATTTATTATCAGTCACAAGTTCTGTGACTGCTGTTTTTTTCCTATTGTTAGCAATCAGTTCATGACTACTGTTACCAATCAGTTCATGACTACTGTTACCAATCAGTTCATTTGATTACTAATCAGTTCATTATTATTAATGTACTCATATTGAAGAGCTGTCGATCTGCTCTATTCACTGCTACACGGTTACAATCGTAACCTCATGCTCTTTCCCATTCTCGGCAGCAGGACTGATTTCAGCCTTCCTCCTTTTTCCACCAGCAGAAACCCTTTTCTCTCCGGGGCGCTCCTGTGCATGTAACACATAATTACGCAGTGCGTAATTACGCACATAGAAGGCTGAGTGATGAAATGTTTTTTGGTGCAAGCAGGTGCTTCATATTGTGTCTGAACAGACCCAGCGAGGCATAGACTACATCCTGCTTCGCCATTGACCCACTAGTGACAGTCTTAAAGCATATACGAAATAGAACGTTGGTTACGTACTGTAACCTCAGATTCTATGAGTATAGGCATAGCCCTTTAAGCGCTGGGCCTCACTGGCTTAGGAGCCAGTGAGGCCGAAGAAAAAGCTATTTTGGAGCCGATTACCTGCTCTCAACGTAATTTATATGGACCGGGTGAGGCCCACACAACAGGTGGGCATGGACTAAAGTTTTCAGTGCTACGCGTCGCGTGACGGGATAAAACCCACAAGCGACAGTCTTAAAGGGCTACGCCTATACTCATAGAATCTGGGGTTACAGTACTTAACCAACGTTTTTTCCTTAGTCAGCCACTCACCTGTGCCCACTACATAATCACCCAGCTGCTTTTATTTTCTCATTCACCTCTGCTTTAAAAAATTAGTCTCTCGTTCACTACTCATCAGTTTTGCATTGTATTAGCTCTCCATATATCTTGGTCAACCTTTTGCTTATGTGTTCTCCTGCATATGTCAGTTTTGCTGCCACACCAGCGTTTTGATTTTTTTGTTATAAAATAAGTTTAACCTAAAGAGTTCCCTGAGTCAATCTGTAATTTGGGCTCAATCCTCCTTTGAACATGATACTGATGCCTTCAGGTGACGGGACAGTGTTTGTGTCGTCCCGAATTTGGAGGGAGACGGTGTGATGAATGTGGAGAAAATCATTTTGGGAATCCAGACATACAGTGCATCAGTAGGTGAAACACACCAACATTTCATTGAACTGTTTTAGACAGAGTTCCACCCTATTAAACTGAAACTGAGATATTTTTCTCAGCCTGTGACTGTAACCTGGAAGGAGCTGAGCATCCATCATGTGACCCTGAAACTGGCGAGTGCATTTGTCGTGTTGGAGTCGCTGGTGTCTTCTGTGATGAGTGCGCCCCAGGTTACTCCATGTTTCCAGTCTGCAAGAAGTGCCACCCATGCACTGCCCTGTGGACTGAAAATGTCACAGATGTCCAGAAAGCAGCTCAGAGGATGAGGACTTTCATCCCTCACCATGGCAACAACCAACAGACCAGAAACAGTCGCCACAGGCAAATGATGCTAGATCTGCACTCCAAGCTGGACAGCATTAGAAACCTGACAAGTCTCAGCCTGCCAGAGGTGGAAAAGATGGAGAAACTTTTCCTGAGAATCAGGTAATTTCTGTGTTTTTGGACTTGAAGGAAAATTCAGTAGTTTTAGATTTACAATGTTAAAAATAAAATCAAAGTCTTGCTGTTTAATTCTCAGTTTTTACACCACTCTTCCCCACAGGAAGCTGAAGGATGCCGTTGACACCAACATAATTCTGATTGACCCATCTATGCTCTTCCACACTGAAATTGACAACATTCTTCTGGAGTTTCAGAAGCTGTTGAAAAACCTAAAGGAGAAATTCATCAAGGATCCAAATATGAAAGAAAAGCCTCAAGTAGAAGGTACAGCATATAAATCAGTTTTTTTTTTAATTGAATTCACCACAACTGCAGTCAACCTTACAAGTATGCAATAGACTAAATTCTTTTCGGTACTCCCTCACTTTAGAGGTCTCCATGGCACATTTTCTGCATCCTCCTCAGTCACACCAACCCTCTGATGATGTCCAAACAATTTCACACTCTAAAGTTGTCTCCAAACCATTCAGCCCGAGCTATTATCTCTGATAATTATTTCTATCTGGTCAATTTTTTTACTCTCAAGGAAAGTTAAAAAAATCATCTCTGCCACTTCCAGCTCTACCTGTTGTCTTTTGCAAGTGGCACCTTCTCCAAACCAAATGTTATAACAGGTCTCTCTACCATCTGGTAAACCTTCCCTCTCATACCTCTCCCTCTCCAAGCTCTCTCCTACCGGCTCCCTACACTCACTAAAGGTCACAAAGTGACTGCATCTCTCATATTGTCTATCATAGACATATATACATAGATGCCTCATTGAGAGCTGAATCGAAAGTCGGCGCCATATTGGATGTGGCAAAAGTCAAAGTCAGAGAGGTTTTATTGTCATTTCAGCTACATACAAGTACATCTAAAAAAGTTAAATCTGGTCCTCTGGACATTCAAAAAAACAAAACAAAGCAAATCAACAAAAAAATGTAGAAACGTTTTGTCTCTCATCTGAGAGACTTCCTCAGTCTGAGGAGCTGTATTCAGCTCAGTCTCTTAAATAGCACCTTCTCAGAGTGGATCAACCAGTTTTGCTGCTGACAACCAAAACCAGCTGATCGCATGCTCAAGAAGGACCATGAGCCTAACAATGGATCATTAGCACACTGATGGCTGTTTACTGTTCACAGAGGGCTGAGTGATACTAGCAATCACAGCATTGTAAGAGGGGGACAGTTGAACCCGGAGGCCTGCACCCCTGTTTAACGATGGAGGATTTCTTTTCACAAAGATGGCCTCCTTTACTCCTCTCTCAAACCATCGTTCCTCTCTGTCCAGGATGTGAACATCTTTATCCCTGAAAGAGTGACCGCTGGCCTGGAGATGAGTGTAGACCGCAGAGTCCTCGCCTGATGATGTTGATCTTCTGTGCTGGGCCATCCTTTTGGCCAGTGGCTGTTTAGTTTCCCCGATCACAGCCCTCCTGACACTGAACAGCATACACAACATTGCTCTGTTTGTGCCGGGGGACTGGATCTTTGGGATGAACCAGTCTTTGCCGTAATGTATTTTGGGGTTTAAAAGCCACTGGGACGTTATGTTTAGAAAATAAACGTCTCAGTTTCTCTGATACTCCCTCAACATATGGAATGACCACTGGTCTGGGTCTGGGTTCCTCCTTTTCACCTGTTGGCTGACTGGAGTCCTGTTTGGGTTTCTTCTCTGCTTTCAGGAAGGCCCGGTTAGGATATCCACATTGCTCTAGAGCCTGTCTTGTGTGGGATTTCTCCTTCTGCCTGGCTCCTGAGCTAGTGGGGACGCTGTCTGCTCTGTGATACAGAGTCCTGATGACTCCTAACTTGTGCTCCAAAGGCAATGTGGATATCCTAACTGGGCCTTCCTGAAAGCAGAGAAGAAACCCAAACAGGACTCTAGTCAGCCAACAGGTGAAAAGGAGGAACCCAGACCCAGACCAGTGGCCCTCTGTGAACAGTAAACAGCCATCAGTGTGCTAATGATCCATTGTTAGGCTCATGGTCCTTCTTGAGCATGTGATCAGCTGGTTTTGGTTGTCAGCAGCAAAACTGGTTGATCCACTCTGAGAAGGTGCTATTTAAGAGACTGAGCTGAATACAGCTCCTCAGACTGAGGAAGTATCTCAGATGAGAGACGAAAAGTTTCTACATTTTTTTGTTGATTTGCTTTGTTTTGTTTTGTTGAATGTCCAGAGGACCAGATTTAACTTTTTTAGATTTTTCTACCTGGATTATTGAGCATGCATCAGGATACATACAAGTACATATTGAAATGAAACAACGTTCCCCATGATCATGGTGCAACACAGAACATAATGTGCAAAACAACACAACACACAATGCAGATACACAAAAGTACCGTAAATACAAACAGACCTGTAATAAATACAAAAATACATCTAACTTAATCTAACCATTAATCTAAACAAGAAATTAAGAGCCTAAACTAGAGACACATGTTGATTAATACTGTCCCAAAAATTAGCATATTTCATCCCACCAATGGAAGACAAGTGTTTTTAATACAAAAAACGCCAACCTTCAAATAATCATGTTCAGTTATGCACTCAATACTTGGTCAGGAATCCTTTTGCATGAATGACTGCTTCAGTGCGGCGTGGCATGGAGGCAATCAGCCTGTGGCACTGCTGAGGTGTTATGGAGGCCCAGGATGCTTCGATAGCGGCCTTAAGCTCATCCAGAGTGTTGGGTCCTGCGTCTCTCAACTTTCTCTTCACAATATCCCACAGGTTCTCTATGGGGTTCAGGTCAGGAGAGTTGGCAGGCCAATTGAGCACAGTAATACCATGGTCAGTAAACCATTTACCAGTGGTTTTGGCACTGTGAGCAGGTGCCAGGTCGTGCTGAAAAATGAAATCTTCATCTCCATAAAGCTTTTCAGCAGATGGAAGCATGAAGTGCTCCAAAATATCCTGATAGCTAGCTGCATTGACCCTGCCCTTGATAAAACACAGTGGACCAACACCAGCAGCTGACATGGCACCCCAGACCATCACTGACTGTCGGTGCTTCACACTGGACTTCTGGCATTTTGGCATTTCTTTCTCCCCAGTCTTCCTCTAGACTCTGGCACCTTGATTTCCAAATGACATGCAAAATTTTCTTTCATCCGAAAAAAGTACTTTGGACCACTGAGCAACAGTCCAGTGCTGCTTCTCTGTAGCCCAGGTCAGGCACTTCTGCCGCTGTTTCTGGTTCAAAAGTGGCTTGACCTGGGGAATGCGGCACCTGTAGCCCATTTCCTGCACACGCCTGTGCACGGTGGCTCTGGATGTTTCTACTCCAGACTCAGTCCACTGCTTCCGCAGGTCCCCCAAGGTCTGGAATCGGCCCTTCTCCACAATCCTCCTCAGGGTCCGGTCACCTCTTCTCGTTGTGCAGCGTTTTCTGCCACACTTTTCCCTTCCCACAGACTTCCCACTGAGGTGCCTTGATACAGCACTCTGGGAACAGCCTATTCGTTCAGCAATTTCTTTCTGTGTCTTGCCCTCTTGCTTGAGGGTGTCAATGATGGCCTTCTGGACAGCAGTCAGGTCGGCAGTCTTACCCATGATTGCGGTTTTGAGTAATGAACAAGGCTGGGAGTTTTTAAAAGCCTCAGGAATCTTTTGCAGGTGTTTAGAGTTACGTCGTTGATTCAGA